TGCGCTTACCTAGGACTTGATGTTCAACGAGAATGTCTGTAATGATGTCTCCTCTGTCAATATCACCTAACCCAGACTTCAACATATCAATGGTAAAAGTATCAGCATCTCGAGATATTACAAAGGCGAACAGTTTTTCCGTTGGACTTCTTGGGCTACAAGTGAAAGTTTCGTAACGGCTGGCTTCCACCCCAAAATGTTGTGCAAGGTGCTTCCAACATTTGGGATTACCATATGGATCTTCACCGTCCAGATAACTTGCTAGACCTTCCAAAAGTTCCAGATTGTTCAGCAAAGATTCACCAATGGGGTCACCTATCAATGAAGAAATGGACGTCATCGAAAATATCAAATATACTGAATCTCGAGTTCAAAAACTTATATTCATCGTTTTATTTCGAGATGGTTCCAGCGTGGTAGGCAGAGGAAACAAACCCAAGTGAAACGTGTCTCTCTGAGAACAAATCCAGAAATCAGTCATAATTTGCACTTAATTTTTGAGAATGTTTTCTTGCAAGATCATGGAAGCAGTGAAGAAAAGCATAACCCACAATAATCATTTCCTCTTTTTACTGTTCCATAATTCATTTTTTGGTCTAGTTTTTGTCTAGCCTTAAAAAACTTCATCATCTATTAAGGCTTTTTCAGGTAGTTCGTGACAACTGCTTTACCTGTTTGGCAGTTGTACAGGTTTGGCAACAAACTCTTCTTTGATCGCGATCAAATCAGAACTCAGTGCCCTTGCTCTACCGAAGAAATTCCGAAGCAAACCAGACTTAACAATACTAAACTAGAAGCCTTCTACAGTAAATCGTTTTAAAGGCAAGTTAGAATCTGTATTTCATTACCATGGCCAAATAGACGCAATTAAATTAATTGGTTAAGGCCACATATCTCTACCAACTTTGTGTCTTAAATGATATACTTTGATTCCCTATTTTGCCAACCAGCACCTCTCCTAGTACGACGTTGACTCAGGTCAACAGCTTGGAACCCTATACAGACAGCCACTGTTAAAGGGAGGGGGGTTCCTTCTCTCTTAAGTCAACATCTTCGAAAGGATGAAAATAATATGATTTTAGCAATGTTTTTCTACAAGCTTCGTGATGCAAAAGGCGTCTTTATGCTTGTACATTTTACTCAAGCAGCTCGTGCTATTATCATTTGAGTGAATTTTCAAAGCCTTTTAAAGATTCTTAAATACAAAAAAAACCGTTGAGATAAGGTTATCCAATTTAAGCCAACATGAAAAGCCACCTGTAAAGTATATCTCAACTCCAGTTCGTGTTTTTACCTAACTTGAGGTATTTGTCCTTCGAATCCATTTGGCTCAGGTGAGAATCACTGCTGAAACACTGTACAAGCTTTTTATCTCTTTCCTCTTTCTCTCCAATATTTTGAGGTGGTAGAGGTGCTGAAACCAAAATTGATTACCAATCAAGATATTAAAGATAGAATCTGGACTCTGAGTATCCTTGCTAACTATCCTGAATAAATGTTTCTCAAGTTTGAACTTCACGACAAAAAAGAAAAGTTTCCATTTGTTGACAGCCACTTTGTTGTCCGAATTTTTGAATTATCGTGAGATTCCTCTTGAATAACTCATAGTTATAATATTTCAACATTTGATTTGTACAACAAATCACCATAATTCTCTGAATGAATAAATTTTCATTGGGTAGAGTCAGCAGTTTGGGAACACTTAAAACCTTATGATGTCGGGATTAATCAATATATAATTTCCCTTTACAACTAAAATTGTACAATCATCTACAAGTATCATCGACCAATGGTTACAGTTACTGTCTAAATCATAACCATTACAATTTGCTCAAATGAAATTGGTGCATTAGCTGCTTAATTTTCAACTCAATTGTCGTCATTTTCCAAAAATTACAAAGTCGTTGTCACTTCCCGCCATCGAACATTTCCATGCACAATTCCGCAAAACTGACATCTGTTGCGTGATCAGAAGGCTTTCCGCAGCAATTATTCAAGCGCGTTGTTCATGCTGCCTGTTAGATAGCAATTTCAGAATAATCTGCAGATCTCTACGATTATTTGCTTGCTTCGATCGTAAAGTATCTGCATTTTTTTTCCAAGCATTCTATTACTACATGTAAATCTACATCTATCTCGATCGAGTGTTGCCGGCGTTTAATTGCGTGACTTGTAAAAGCCACGTGAGCCAGTAGTATTTTGACCAATACGCTTCCTGCAAATTTCCCTTGATAAAAAAATCCCAGGACATAGTCAGTTGTTTTCGTGAGCAAAGACAATAAATATAAAAGAAAAGTGAGATGCAAAGGTCCTCAATTTTTTTGGCTTAATAGCAGCTGTACCCTCTCCTGCAGTCTTCGTCTAAACTTTGCAAGGTTCCTCCTTATCTTCTGCCTTGTTCGATCGACTTCTGAAGCTAGATCATCGGCATCGGCATCGGCCTCTTCGTCCTTATTCATACATTTCTGGCTGGTGTCGTCTCTTAAACTCGATATTTGGGAAGCCACATAAGAGGCGTTTGCCTCATTAGTTTCCTCCCCTACACGTCTAGGAGATAATTCTTTGCTTTCTGAGAAAAGGCGGCTGCTTTTTGTGTTTTCCAAAGAGCCCATCCAAAGTACACCTGGCTAGTTAGGGATTGCTCGTCAAAATTTTACCTGAGGTCCGACCTTGAACGTAGCCACCCCCTACAGAATGGTAAGTCTTCGTCCATTTCCTCTTGATGTTATTATAGGCGGATTTTTTTTGTCAGCTTCACTTTGTGCTTGCCTTTGTTAAGGTGCTTTTGGATGGCAGTGACTGACTGAAACGTCTTAATACATCCTTCCTCTTAGCAAGAATATCTCGCTTTCTTGTTCTGTTTGTGACGGATTGGGAATAGTTCTCGCGATGACCCGCGTTCAGAGATCTGTGCACGTTGCTTATAACCACCCGCTTCTACGATTAGTTTGCGGAAGGTTTCTAATGTGATGAGCCTAGTGAGTCTCTGAAGTGCTCCAAACTGTGCCAGTTGGTCTGCGCTATAAACTTGTCGCAGTTCCAAAGTTAGAGGAAGGGTCGCCCGCCTTAACTTATGTGAGCGCCTCAACAGTATCTGCGTATCCCTAGCAATCATAAGATATAAAGTTCATCTCCGTCACAAATCACCACTTAGGAAAACTGATGTTCAGATAAGCGCTCTTCTTGCCCTTCCTACTTATTCATTGTCGACTCTAAGATAGCAGTTACAGTACGCGTTCTATTAGGTTTACAGTCATCTTGCCACCAGGAAGACTCGCCACCAGCTTTGATTTCTTCTGACATCTTCATATTTACCTCTCTTTCAACTTTACGTCTCCGATGTTTATGTGGAGGATACTAGCATTTACAAACCCGAAGGTCTGAATCTGACACCAAGTTGTGCACGATATTTGAGGTATATAATGAAATCGCGGCCTTCGTAATCTCCAAATAAGCCAATACGAGTTAGAATAAGCTTCTTCTCGGACGAAACGCATGTTTGGGATACATTGACGTCTCTCAAATGTTTTTTGTGTTGTACACCCACGAATGTATGGGTATGAGCTGTTGCCGTCCCTGGCCAGCGCGAGAAAAGCAACATTTGGTTCTACCGTTAGTTACGGTATCAAACTATTGATTATGAAAGGGTGAGCTTAATTTTTCTGTCGAGGTCAAAATGACTTCACATTAAAAGCGTTTTTGACGGAACAAGCCAGTGAGCATCACTGCACGAACTGAGAAAGTAAAACCTTGTATTTATCTCCTGCGCGTTTAGTCTGACAATAGTAGACTTCATCAAGGAGTTTTACAAGTAGGGTAAACAAGATTGCTTATATACAAATAGCAAATAAGTTGTCTCTTTACTATTGAAGTCAGTGGAAAGAATTCGCCAGGTGCGCCTACGGTGTTGTACATGCGTGACATTTTTCGGACGTTACATGTACAAGTGTGTGATCTGTTTGAGGGTTACAGATTTAGTGTAAATATTTGACCCTCAACAAATTGCATTCTTGTCCAAGTTGTCTCTAGTTTACAGAGGTCTTAGAGCGCTTCATTGCATGGATTTGCCTTCTACAGCTAGAAGGCTAAAAGCGAATTTCTCGGACGTAATTGCTTTTGATTTCTCAATTGATGTTGTCACAAACACAATTTTTGGGAGTCACAAAACAAAAAAACTTATCGGGAGCTAGTTTCATGTTCTAATGGGAATAAATAGCAAATAAAAACACATTCTCTTGAGAAATAAAGTTAAAAATAACAGGGGTTCTTTGAAACAAATAGTGATAAAAAAGGTTTCAGTTCTGATCAATATTGACTTTTCATAGCCTACTTCCAAATCTGAGGGAACGCGATGAGGGAATTAAAATAACATACATGCGTGATAATGCAAGAAAGAGAATAAAAATACAAATAAATAAAAAGGAAAAAACATGGAAACCCGTCTTGTAGCGTGCAGATATCTTTCGAGCCAGACCTACACACCTAGGCCCGACACCACGCAAAGAAACTCGAAAGGGTGCTGTTTACCAACTGGCTCGCACGTGCACGCAGGAAAGGTCATGACAATCAACGAAAATAATAGCAAATGCAGACGATATTTGTAGTCAAAAAACAGGCAAATAAAATAACAGAAGGATTAAGAACTTTCTAGAAGCTTTTTCTTGTAAAAAAAGATAAACAATTTTTACTTCTCATGAAAGGTCACACAGTCACGCTACAAATACTATTTCTGCGTGGAATTTTTTTGATGGTGGAAAGTGGAAAAAACATTTTCCAGTCTTATTTTCTGGAAACATGCCGCAGTTAATGAATTTTATGGGGCTATTGATATTTCCTTTCAAATGAGGGGGCAGAGTTTCCCGTCATCCGCAGTCTGGAAAAGCCGAAGTTGTTACACATGAGAACTTAAACGTCAACAAGCACGCGACATGTGACTTCAAATCTCTTCTCCTGTTGCAGTTTCCTTATTGTGAACTGTGCGATAATGATAATAAACAATCAAATTATAGACTAATGAATGTTTTGTGCCGTACAAAGGCCATATTTGCTCATTTTAGCAAATCTCCAAAGTAATAAACGACATAAGAAAGAAACGCTATGATTTTCCCATCGATTTTTCTATTCCTACGAAAAATCTCGAAAGTTTTTCACATTTGTTAGCTTTCTTGATCAATCATCTAGTATGAAGAGCAAAAAATGTAGGTTTATTTGGTCAAGTGACAGACTAGAGCCAGAATTGCGTGACAGGTGTAGTTGAGGGAAACTTGTCACAGTCGCAGATTTTAAAAGGCATCCGAGACAAAAATTCGGTCGTGCCCAAAGATGTTTTTGATGGTTTCAGAGATGAAACGATGGATTATAAAGGGTAATTAAGATTAGCGTTGTAGCTCTCTGGCAAGGGGAGATATATGACCTCAAAGTTGTCAAATATTTGAATGAATCAAAACGTCTAAAACACAGTCGTTTATATGCCTCTGTTGATTGACAAGCCGTCAATCAAATTGACTGATACTTGCGTCAAACATTAACTAAGGATGTAATAATGTGTGCAAATCCTCAGAGTAATCAGTTAAATACCATCGCGGTGAGAGCTTTATACATATTACCTATTATGAGACGATTTCCTTGGTGAAAACCAAGAAAAACAAGGGGGGTGGTCTATCTCCCCCCGAAAAAAACCAAAACAGAAACCACTTTGTATTTTTGAGTTTTTGGGTAAACCCTTTAAGCTGGCAAAGTTTCATTGAAATCAGTGAGATAGCATGTAGCAGGACTGCCCGGTGCTCTCGTGGACACACTCTTAAAACCATGGTCTGAGTTGCACCACAGATAATACAGGCACAAGGTTTGATAATTCATGACCGCTGAAACAGCCACCAGAAAGAAACCAAGTTTTGTTTTGTGCGATCCAGGCGTGAATATCGACAAATTAATAAACCTCGCTGCTTAAGGAAAAATAAGTAATAATAAAAAAATTTAATAAATAAATGATAAATAAATATATCGCTGACATTTTTTGAATCCTCGAGTGAAAACGTGAAATGTATAGAAAAAACTAGTACGTTTCAAGAGATTCCAAGTAACTTTCACTGATACCAAGAATGAGTGTTTCTTGGTGTTGAGTTTCATTAAATTTGGCTGTTAACAATTTTACCCTGAAACCTTATTATGTTTAAGTTCACGACAACCGCTTTGCCAGTTTGGCTACAGCAAACCCCTCGTTGATCGCTGTCATATTAAAACTCAGGGTCTTTGTAGAAAGAAACGAGACGCGTACCCTTGCATTCAGGAAGAAATCCCGAAGCAAACCAGACTTAACAAAACTGAACTAAAAGCCTCCTACCAATAAATCATTTTATCGAGGCTAGTTAGAATCTGTATTTCAACACCATGGCCAAAAAGACGCAAGTCACTTTTACTGCTAAAGGCCACATATCGTTGAGCTTTGAGGGTCGGTTGGAAAAATAAGAGCCTTACTTTTCCAACCAGCCCCTCTCCCAGCGCGACGTCTTATTTCACTTCTGTCTTATGTCAACATCCTCAAAAGGTCAAAAATAATACGATTTTGGCACGATTTTCATGTTTTTCTACAAGCTTCAATCCTGAACAAATAATTCTCAAGTTTGAAATCCACTTCAAAAAAGAAAATTTTTTATTTGTCGCCAGCCACTTTGTTGTCTGAATTTTGGAATTTTAAACTCATGAGACTCCTTCTGAATAATTCACATAGTTATGATTGCAACAGTTGATTTGTAAGACAAAATTAACATAACTCTCTGACTAAATAAATTCTTGATATAATTAAAGCAAAATCTATTTGCCACATAACAAATCGTTTGTTGACCTTTATTGGCCAATTTTTTTTGTTTTATTTACCAAGACAACGTCCGAGTCCATAAAAAAAAAAAACAGAACAAGGCTAAAATCCAGTCATTTTGACAAAACAAGCTTTGTCAATAAAGGCCAATAAATGATTTGTTAATATAATATTATAGCAAAAAGAGTCTGCTTCGGTAAGAATCAAAACTTGTTTTTTGTTGAGAGTCGCGAAAGAAAGCTAATTGTTTTAGCACAATAAACCCGAGATAGTTGTTCATGTTTTCTTTGTTTTGACTGGCTTCTGTTGCTTTGTGCTACTCAATTGGTTACATTTTCCAAAAATTACAAAGTTCGAAAGACCGCTCTGCACAATGCTTTTTACTTATACGGGATCAAAGCTGGCAATTTCAAGCAGGCGAGATAGGCCTCTTTTCCCTGCTTGGGTAGTCAGAACACAGGGTTCACCTCATATTTCCCACAGGCGTGCCAGCCGTAAAATAAACACTGATACTAGGGTGCAAAGGGTTAAGGAATCGAAGTCACGATGGAAACCACATGAGAAAATTGAACAGAAATTTACTTAACTTTAAAAAAACAAATATTATTTTAAATGAGACCACGATAAAATATATATAAAAGTTATTGGAAAAAAAGAAAAAACAAGAACCGCAAAATCCATCCACAAAAAAATTAATATCCGATGCACAGATGAACACTGCCATCAGTTTTTGTCAGGCCAAACTGTGCATGGCTATAACATAATTAACTAAATAACCTTTATTAGCCACTCTCTCAGACTGACAGATTATTTTTTCAAAAGCCCCAGCAAGCTAACTGTGAAAACAAGCAATTGTTGGATGAGGTTGAGCATGATATCATAAATTATCAAAACTGTGCATGGTCTGAGTTGCTTCCACAGACAATACAAAGTTCTCTAATTCATGATATCGTGCGAACTCAAATTCAAGAATTGTTCTATTATACATTTTTGAAACAATCTGCAAAAGAAGACTCCTCTCTGAGTTTGCAAAAGTTTGAGAAAACTTCATGGAAGAGGGGCTTGGAAACCAGACAGACTTTGACCTCGACATGATAATGCATCGTTCTTTCCTTTATCCAAAGTTGACAAGATGTGTCACACTTTCAGTAGAGAAGTATCCATAATACAAGATGTAGTTTCATGATATAAAGTCACCTAAGGGGCAGATTTTGTTGGACCATAATTCACTGGTTGAGAACCTTGAGATAGTACATCATTAGTAGTGTGTATTTTTTAAACATTCTTACCTAGTTTGCTTTGACTAAATGAAGAATTGGTGCCATTTGGAGTCATATCATCTTCTGCTGATCCTGTCTCGCTTCTACTTGTGTTGAGGAGACTATCTTGGACAGGTCTCCCAGTATTGTGAGTTGGAGGAAAATCTGTCAAAACAATCATGTAAAAATATTTTTTCTCTACATCTAGAAACTTCTCTATATCTTTTAGATTTGCTTTAAAACTCACTCAGTCTTGAACCTCTCAGGCTGCTTTTCTATTTGTGGGAGTTGAAAAAGTAAGCAAGAAATTGTTTCATGCAATAATGAAAACAACAAAAAAAAAGCATCACGACATCATCAGTGAGGAAGTTAAAGATTTTTTCTGGCTGCTGGGTTAATCAGTCCAAAGTTTATGTTTATGGTGACAACACTGGGCCTGGCCAAAAAAAAAGTGGTGAATTAACCAGGAAAGAGAAAATGTGACATCCCATCGCCAGACAGAAAGGGGAAGGGGCAGAAAAAGACTTCTCTTGCCAATGAAACTGAATATTTAATTAATATTTTAATTTTATTATTCAAAGATTGTTTGAAGGTAAAGAAGGATATGGAGTTCAAGTTCATTTGGACTTAAAATCGAAAAATCTTCATGAGAAAAGACAAAGACTCTGCTGTTCACCATATTAATAACAAAGAGGATCTTCAGAAGATACAAACTAGATAAGTATTTATTTTCTGATCTTTTAAGATTTGATGAATTGTTTAAAATGTGTAACTGACACTAGTGATATGGCCTGTGACTTGGCCAATTCACTTCCATCTTTAAGTATCTGAAACTGCCATAAACCTGCAAGACTCCTGGCCTTGAATAATAACACCACACACCAAATAAAAAGAAAAAGATTTATTGGAGCCGAACGTGCTTGATACTAAGAGTGTGGGTTGAAACTAAAACGAAAAAAAAAAGCAAAAAGGTTACAAGTTGCAAAACACGTTACAAGTTACAAAAACTGCAAAACGAGGACTGCGAAATACACTTACATTGTTTTGGCCAGAGAAAACTTCTGTAAAGAGGACTGCGAATAACGCGAAGAGGCTAGAAACAAACTAAACAGAACTGCGCTAAGCGCGGACCAAACTGAACTCACAAACTGTACTGACAAACTACGATATTCAAATACGCTAGAAAATGCGGAAAATAAAACTATAGAAAGGCGCTAATGAAGATGAAACAGCACGGAAACGCTAACGAGGGCACGAAAACTAACAGAAAGAGATAAACACCTAAATTAACGCCAAAAAAGAAGACTAAACAAATGAACGAAAGGAAGTATAAACTAATTTGCGTACGCAAAGGAAAAACAAATTAGGCAAGAACGAATAATCAAAAAAAATGTTACACTTGGATCTAACAGTATCAATTCTCCTAGTAACATTCCGCACCTCACTGATTTAGATGCTGACCTAAACATGCCTTTGGAAAACAATTTTCGTTCCTATAGCACTCATGATCTAAATAGTAATTATGACATCAACGAGTGTCTATTGAGTGGTCAATCTTTTTCTTTGATTAATTGTAATATTAGGAGCCTATCAGCTAATTATGATAAATTGTCAAACATGTTATCAGAGCTATATTTTCCTTTCTCATTAATTGGTCTTACTGAAATCAAACAGAGAATTGATCAGACTCCTATATCTAACACTGATTTATGTGGATATCAGTATCTCTCAGTATCTCAGCCAAGCCTTTCCAATGCTGGGGGAGTTGCTTTCTACATAAAAAACAATTTAAATTTTAACATAAGACCTGAATTTACAATAACTGCTGATGATTTTGAAGCCTTATGGATTGAGGTACATAATAATTGTCATTCAAACTTACTCTGTGGAATAATTTATAGGCATCCAAATGGTGACTTAGAAAGATTTATTGAATATGTGAGCTCCACAGCTGATAGAATTAATCAAGAAAACAAAACTTGTATAATCATGGGAGACTTTAACATAGATCTTTTGAAATTTGAATCACACTCAGCAACTGATGGTTTCCTTAACACTCTGGGTTCTAATTTTTTTCAGCCCTATATAATGCAACCAACAAGAATCACAAATCATTCAACAACTTTAATTGGTAATATTTTTTTCAATTCAGTTGAGCATTTTACAATCAGTGGTAATATAGTGTATGATCTCTCTGATCACCTTCCCAATTTCCTAATTTTTAATAAATTTTCATCACTTCCTAGCGATGTTAAAATATTCAAAAGAGATTACTCTAAATTTGATCAGCAGGCTTTTGCATCCAATGATAGTGCATGCAATATGTTTAAATCTTTTTACTTTAAAATATCTAGCATAATCAACAAACATACACCAGTCAAACAACTATCTAGGAGGGAAGTAAAGCTTAAATGAAAATCATGGATATCTAAAGCTCTACGAAAGTCTATTCAAATTAAAAATAATTATTATACAAAATACCTCAAGACAAAATCTACCTATTACCATACAAAATTTAAGCTTTACAGGAACAAATTAAACCATCTTCTAAAAATAAGCAAAAAACAATATTATAATGAATATTTTTTTCAAAATATTAAGGATGATAAAAGGATCTGGAAAGGGATTAAACAAATAGTAAAATTTAAGCCGCAAACTAGCCAAAGGCTCATTAAGATTGTAGAAAACAACTTAGAAATAACTGAACCTAAACTTGTTGCCAATGCATTTAATGATTATTTTGCCAATATTGGTAAAAACCTAGAAAGTCAAATACCAAGTGTATCCAATAGCCCAATGGTATATCTGAATAATCCTGTATGTAATAGTTTTTATTTTTTCCTGTAACTTGTAGTGAAATTGAAACTGAAATATCTAAGTTAAAAACTGGCAAGTCTGTAGGACCATTCAGCATTCCAATTGATATACTAAAAATGCTAAAAGCCTATATATCAAAACCTTTGGAGATAGTTTTTAATGCTTCTATTTCAACTGGAGTTGTTCCCAGTGATTTTAAAATAGCAAATGTTGTACCCGTGTTCAAAAAAGAATCACAGTCATCCTTGTGCAATTACCGTCTCATCTCCCTTATCTCTGTCTTTAGTAAGCTCCTAGAAAAACTTGTATATAATAGACTAATCAAATTCTTAGAAAAAAACAAAGTTTTATTTGAAAACCAATATGGTTTCAGAACTAAGCACAGTACTAACCATGCAATTCTTTGCATAATTGACAAAATTCAGAAAGCAATTGATGATCGAAGCTATTCCTGTGGTATATTCCTTGATTTTACCAAAGCATTTGACACCGTCAATCATCAAATTATGATTCACAAACTAGAGTACTACGGTGTTCGAGGTCTTGCCAAGGATTTGTTTATTTCCTACCTCAGTGGCCGACAACAACTTGTTATTGTCAATAATGCAACATCCACAAAATGTAATGTAAGTTGTGGAGTACCACAGGGATCAGTACTTGGCCCTCTGTTGTTTTTATTATATGTAAATGATTTTCATTGCTACTCAGATATCTTTGAATTTCATCTCTTTGCAGATGATGCAAATTTGTTTTATAAAAGTAAAACTTTCTCTATGTTAGAATCAAACATAAATGTTGAATTAAATAATATTCACATATGGCTCTGTGCTAATAAGCTCTCACTCAACGTGGAAAAGTCAAATTTTGTAATTTTCCATGCACCTCAAAAGAAACTTGAATGTCAAAATTTCATGCTGGCTAAAGATAATAAGGAACTTAAGCGAGAGTTCTGTATAAGGTATCTGGGCATACTAATTGATTCACACTTGAATTGGAAAAACCATGTTGATTGCATTGTTAAGAAAATTAGAAGAAGCACAGGTATCCTCTCTAAACTTCGTTATTATGTTGGCCTAGATATTTTAATAAGCTTATATTATGCACTTATATATCCTTTTTTGACCTATGGAATAATTATCTGGGGAAATACCTATAAGACCACTCTTCAACCAATTTTCATTTTACAAAAAAGAGCTATGCGATTAATTACCTTTTCTAGATTTGATGAGCACTCTAGTCCTTTATTTAAATCTCTTGAAATTATAAAATTCCTAGACCTAGTAAGTTTTCATTTAACAATCTTTATGTATAAATATCATAATCAATTATTGCCATCAGTCTTTAGTTCTTTTTTTAGTAAAATTTTGCAAATCCATACCTATAATACAAGGCTTGGTGCAAAACAGTCTTATTTTCTTCCAAAAGCAAGAACAAATTATGGTATATTCAATATCAGATTTCAAGGTCCATCAGTATGGAATTCATTGTCTTTGTTTATAATAAAAAGAAAGTAAAGCAGCTATTTATCAAAGATTACTAGACATCTGTATTGTCTGTGTAACTTTAAAATGGAAATAATTCTGTTTTGCAATGTATGAATTTTAGTCTCTTTAATATACTGGTAGTTTACCTTTGTGTGCATTTCTGTATCTCTTTGTTTTTGTGTCCCTGACCTAAACATTTAAACATCTTTTCTTTCAACTGGCTCACTGGCATTTTTAACTCTTAGGTTATTTCGGGCAGCCAGCGCCCCTATCATTGTCTGTACTATTATTATAAATTTTTCTTTCTTGTATATTTTGGGGTGAAAAAATAAAGTTGTTGTTGTTGTTGTTGTCAGAGTTACTTTTATCAATTGAAGATCAGTTTTGTCCAATTTTCTAGAAAATATGTGTTTTAATGTCAAAATCTGAAAAGTTGGATGTTCCATCAACAAACTCATGGTTTTTCCAAATACTAGTCGTGTAATGTTTCATAAACGAGCAACAGTGTTTTATCAGGTATAAAATCACAAGCCAAAGGTGAGTGATTTCCTGACTGCAATTTTATTGAAGGTCTTCAGAGACATTTCTGAAAAAGTGTGTCTCAATGGAGCTCAAAACATTGATGATTTTGCGAGCGTTTGAATGAGCATACAAAACATATTTCAAATTGTAATGGACTGATACATTATGGTAGGCCTGAAGTTGAAGCAAATGAGATGGACTGTTAAGCTCTAGCCTGTTGAGCTCCAGCCTGTTTTTCGTTTTCTTCTTTCTTTCACTTCGTTTTTATTTTATCTGTCGAATGAGCAAAAAAATATTTCCCCACAGTCACAGGAATATACTGATCTTTTCAGTCTCTTAGCCCACTGGAGATGACCATGGTTTAGCTTGATGCCTACTAAGTACTCTGAAGTTTCTAACTCAATCTGTAATTTAATTTGTTGTTTCAACAATGCCTGACAAGACACTTTTTCAATCTCTTCTCCCTTTTAATCACTTGGATAAGAGTTCTTTTAGTTAGCAGTTCATGAATTTACTCATGGTCCTTTGAGTTAAGATGCCGACTGTCTTGAAACATTATTATTTAATCCTGTTGAACGGCCCAAATTATTCCGACCGCTTTCTAGTCATCTGAATCCCGACTCCAGTTTTACCACTGGCTTGCCCATGCTCCTGGCTATGACAGTATCCCAATGCATGTAATTAATCATTCACTTCACCTTATTTCTACTCCTTTGGCAGATATTATCAATATCTCCTTGCTAAAAGCCATTTTCCCGCACAAACTTAAAATCGCTAAAATTATTCTCATCTACAAAGCAGAGGACCCTTGCTTTTTTGTAAAATACGGGCCTATTTCCTTGCTGTCTAATTATTCCAATTTTTTTGAAAAAGTAATATACAATCACTTGGTAGAATTTGCCAAAACACACAATAAAATGTTACCACTGTCATTTTGGATTTTGGAAAAACCACTTAACATCCTGATTCATCTGTCAATTACTGAACCTAACTTAAATAGAATTTTATTTTTTGCAAAAGCAAGCTGTGCAGACTATCATCAACCTAGATTATCGAGCCCACTACACTCCTTTATTCTCCAAACTAGGAATTTTAGATATTTTCCATGTCAATGCATTTGAAATCACCAAATTCATGTTTTGTTATAAAAATAACCTATTTCCCCCATTGCTACTCAATCTTTTTGTTACAAATAGCCAAATTTACTGCTATGGTACAAGAACATCCGGTAATTATTGCACGCATTTGTGTTGTATAAATCTCAAGCAATTTACAATTTTCTACCCACGTCCTAAAATTTGGAACTCTCTTCCTGTTTCAATCACTCATTCGTCAAATCTTTTTAACTTTGAGATGAAAATGCAAGAGTTTTTTACTAACTAGCACTTATTCCACGTTGGCCTCCTCGCTTTCTATAAATTATAATTCTGTTAACAAAAAATTTTGTACTCTTAAAAAGGCAAATAAATGATGAGGATGATGGTGGGGTCACAAAAAAAAAAATTTACCCAAGTTACCAAAAAGCAATCTGATGGAAAAAATGGTCTGTCCTGAAAAATCACTGCCAAACAAAAGCTTTTTTCTTGAATAAAAAAAACAGACATTAAGTGAACACTGTAAGAAGAATTTAGAGCTTACCTTTCCCTAAGGAATGAACCTCGCCAGCAGGAACTAGAGGAACAAAATGATCTAGATTCATTTCTTCTGAGGGTTCAATTGATGTCCACATGATTACCAGTGGATCCAACATTGGAAAACCCTCCCGAGGATGAATAGCATCCTTAAAACATTCCTGGAGCTCTCTGATATCTGCTGTAACTTCTGGAAAAACAATCTTTACCGGACGCCGAAAGACATTTGGCAGCGCCAGAGACTGCCAGAAAAATGCCTTGTTGAACTTTTTACAAGTTTCACGTACCACTTCTTTAAATTCCGCTTCAAGATCCACTGGGTTCAATTCTCCTGAGCACTCGTCTCCTCTCTTGTGACTTGATTTACGTAGTATATATCGTTCTTGAGCATGAATTCTTTCTTTATTTTTAGGGTCATTTAAATAACGTAATTTGTTACACGCAAGCTCTACCACTGTTCTCACTCGCATTTCTAGATGTTTACTTTCATCTCCAAAGGCTAATATTGATGCTGCTCGATACAAACAATTTCCATCCCCATTGGTGCGAAGGGCAACATGTTCACCATTCAATTTGCCAGTTGGTATAATTTTCTGAGACTTTTCATCAATATCTAAGACAAATTTCCCTTTTTCCCTTATAGTCAAAGAAGGAATTTCAGGTTGTAACTGGTTTGCCTTAATGCATAGGTCATCAAATCCAACTTCAGATGCGTCCTGGAGTTTCTTCAAATAAGCTTCATAATCTAAAAAGAAAAGAATAACAAAATAGACGATGATAACTTTGTGAAAAAATTGGGGTAGAGGGGGTGGGAGACAGATCATATGTACTTATATCATTAGTTGGCCAAGTATCGACCAATTCTATCCACTGACATGTCTATCGAGGGGTGGTTGATGCTAAATCCACATGTCAATCGCTAGTTGGCCCACTGCCAGTTGCCATGTCATTCAAGTTGGCAGACTATCAGTCACCACTATCGGCTGATACTTGGTCAATATGTTGGTTGACACTCGGCTGAAACCTCAACCATTACATTGCGTTTGTTAGATGACAGCCTATTGGAGGACTGTCGGTGGTATATGTGTATAGATAACCATTGTTTTGCTGGAAAGGCAGCCCTCTCCTAGTTCCTTTGCCTTATCCACAGGGGACACAAAAGAAGAGTTTCAAAGGGTTAGAGAAAGAAAGTTAATATTTGAGTAGAGAGGAAAGAGCTCATTAACAAGAACCCACCGAAAAAAACAGTAGTGTTGTCTGAGTATTGGTAAAGTATCAGCTAAGTATCGCTAAAGTATCAGTCAAGTGTTGACCAAGTATCGTCTGACACACCTGTCAGTCCAGTAGTGACCTTGGTCGGTCAACATGTTGGCCAATACATGGTTGATATATTGGTCTGGTAACATGTTGACCGATGGTATCAGGTTTAATTGTTAGAGTAGCAAAGTCTAACTCAGAGCTACAATCTCTTGAATGAATGGTGCTGTTGTGGCTTCTGGTAACACCCACTTGCTAAGAAATTTTACCACTGAATACCTAATTCATGGTGCTATGAAAGCATAACATAGTGGTAAATGTGTGCAGATGGAGTCTTATTTTTCTGGTCTAGACAGACTTTTAAATGCCCAGTGGATACCCTGTCCAATCATTTCAGTTCTTTTTTCATAAGTTCATGGAGAAATTGTATATCAAAAACAAAAAGCAAAACAACAACAGCAACACTGTGTCAGATAACTCTGATGCACAGATGAACATTACTATCAGGGCTTGTCATGCTATAGCATAATTAAACATTATAAGCCAGTCCCTCAGACTATGATTAATGCCAAAGCCATTGTAACGCTGGCAGTTTTTTTTTTCAAAAGCCCCAGCAAGCTGATAGTGATAAAGAGAGTTGTATGTATCTTTTAACAAAGCTTTCCAAAGTAAACAGAAAAGTTACTCACTATAAAGTGAACATGAATAGAACTTTCTAAAACTTTCTTACCTGGGGGATTTTGTATGTTGCCACCATCTGGTGGATTGCTTTTTTCTGTTAACAATCAATAGCTCATGATTAGTTATTCAAGTTATACAACACTGTACTATCCTTCTTTGCTAATCATGCCAGCAGTGAAACATTTCTCATTCTTCTCCCATACCAGCTGAACACAATCAAAGTGATCTTATTACTAAATGTACGGCACTGCTGACAAGTGCTCATGGCTTGAACATGGTGAAGGTAGAAAACAGTGATTTCAAAATGAAAGAGGGGGCATGGAAGTAGATTGGCGGATTGGCACATTTAGCTTTCAAAACTAACGGATTACAGATCGTGTGGAGTCACAGATTTTCAAAACACTGTGGATCACCCACCGATCAGCTGACAGGCTCGAAAAGTTTGGTCGTCTAATATTGGTACGCTACTTTCTCAAAGTTTTGGCAGCATAGTTCAGTTCTTGGCTTCATCAATTCAGTTTATAGCCTACCAAACTTGAACCAAAACCAGCTGAGAGAAGACGAGTGTTAAAATCTAAACACCATAGAACTGACGAAAAACATGGATGTGCACTCGTAGACAGTAAACTAATACTACAGAAAGTTTTTTCAAGTGAGGAGAATGTGGATTCGAAAAATGATGGATCACGCCAGTCAAAAAGTTGCTCGAATTGACGGACTGGTATATCCCAATTTAATACAAATTTTCAGCTGTGAACAGAACACTGATATCATCACAAATCATTGGGACTTGAGTCTGTGTTATTCAATCAAAAATTAAGAGAAAAGTAAACACTCAGGCTGGGACCACGGTGCACTTAAAGCAGAAAATTCATACAAATTTAGCCTTTTACCACCCGTAATTTTGGAAGTAACTAGCTTAAATGCACAATAAATGTTCAGATGATACCTGGCTCACAAGATATAGGATATATCCATGCAAAGTTTAGCCTTGGAATAGGCCAAACTTTGCATGGATGTAGGATAATATAATCTCATAAGCCACCCGGTCAGGCTATGGTACATGCTAAATAAATGTAACTCTTGCAATAACATTTTTTTTCACAAAAGCCCCAGCAAGTATGCTATAACAAGGAGAGCTATACATGGAATACTTCTTTCTGTTTAAAAGTTAATATCTTATGGTTAGCTGTCCAAGACAACATCTAACCATTCTTGCTTATCGTGCCAGCACTGGACATGACTCTTCAGCAGTTTAACTTTTAAAAAACTTATCTATAACAGGTTACTATTAAGTATCAGTCCTGGCAAGTACATTTCTATACCAAAATCTGATACTCTTGAGAAGTTTCAAGGAACCTTTTAGTGTCACTTTGGTAAAAATTTCTAACTCCAATGCATTTAATCCATTTGAGACCATGCCTGGCAGTCTGATCAGAAGCTTACAATTTTTAAGTGTCGACAACTGCGTGATATTAAAGTATGCTCAAAGTCCGACAATTTGTCCACTAAAAAGCCAAATTAATTTTTGGAATCACTTCATATTTCTAAATAAGCATCTGCTGATATTCTTAAGAAGTTTGAAAGAACCTTTATGAAGAAGTGATTTAGAAAAACATTTAATTATAAAAAATAAAACATTTCTTAAATACATTTTAAGATTGCTGAAAGACAACGACATTTCAACCTTTGATAAACGTCATTATCAAGTCAAAAAAATATTTGTAAGTTGCAGTCTATACATAGCAAAATAACAATGGGTGATAAAAAGCTATACCATAAGAAAAGAACAATAGTAATTAAACAAAAAGTTTGGCAGGTATGGAGTCCATCTTTGATATTAAAATTAGGCTTGAGGTTCTTGATGAACAGCATTTCAAAGACCAAACAATTAAATTTTCCCTAGCACCTTCTTAAAACTCTAAATTGGTTTTCTTTCAAGAGGTGATTGTACCGTGAGCTTCCACAAAATGTTGACCGATTGCCGAATATTTGTGCTCAGCAATGCGTTGATGAAGGTGTCGCGCTGTGGACCCGACATAATCTACATCACACAGATCACATGAGAAACGATAAAAAATGTATTGCCGATTCACAATTGACGGCTTGATTTCTTTGGGTTTAAGATCTTGCCCCAATTTCGCGTCCTCTAAATTGGATCAACCTTTTATGCTTTTGTCATGGATATCTGTTGTTGCTTCTAGAAATTTCCAGACTGCTAAGTCATGCTGACTTGCATAACGTAGAACTTTCCAGAACATTTTATCAGATCACGCACTTATTATGTAATACTACAAAAATAGTTCTTTATGTAAGCTCTTGGAATGTTTCAGAACACTTTGTGAATATTTTTAAAGACTCACTTATATAGTAGTAGGAGTAGTTTTTATTGTCGGAGTGAAGACTGTGTCGAAAGCTATACCTAGAGAGAGTTTCTGCGAAAGATTGCTCACTTCAAGGAACTTTAGAGACAGCAGTGTAAATCTGCTGGTGAACGTAAATTCCCTTTCAAACCCATCACCAATCTGGAACTTTCAAATGCGCTTGCTCACGATGCAAAACTTGTCCTTTCATTCATAACGTAGAGAAAATATCAGGACCTAAGAGATCCATTAAGATCACAGATCACTTTGCGTGTACCTCCACCAATGTCATTTACTGCATAACTTGCCCTTATTGCAATAAGTTATACATTGGTGAAACAAGAAGACGACTAGGTGATCGATTTTGAGAAAACCTACGCGACGTAGAAAGAAATTACAAGGATGCATCCAAACCAGTCGCTAGACACTTTAATCTCCCTAATCATTCCAAACAACATATGGCAATTTGTGGCCTTTCCTTACATCTAGGCAGTTCGGAAAGCCGCAAAACACTAGAGCAAAAACACTAGAGCAAAAATTTAAAGCAAAAATTTAACTCTTAATCCCCACAGTATCAATGAGTGCTTTTCATTCAACTAATTTATTCTTGTTTTCTCGTCAGAATACTCCCACCAATGGCATAGCTCCACTTTCTGCATATATATGTCTCAAAGTTCCAGTTTCTTGAAAGTGGCTACTTATAGAAAGAGTCCTATAACCCAGTCACACTAACAAAACATGTTTTGTTAAACTGGGTTTAATCAAATGAAAATCAGAAACAGAGAAATGAAAAACTAAATTTTCCATAGTTTTCAAGTCATTGCTACCTTGTATTTTCAAAGTGCTACATTTGAAATCAACAACCATTGGGTTAAGCAGCTTCTGCACAACAAAAAATTCAAACAGTGTTTAATAAAAACAGCTTTAAAACATTTTTAAGCTTTGGTGTGAATGGGTTATTAGCTACTTTCCTAGCATGGGATGCCATACTACTGAAGAGTCCCCCTACTAGTTTTTCCCCACAAGAACAAAATTCTTTTCCAAGAACCAATTAATAAGGTATTCTTCTGAGAAGAAACACTGCTTTCCTCTCAAGATGATATCCATTTAAGCGGAATCTCATTTTTTAAGCAAGCTTATCAGAAGAATTACTGCTCTTCCCTGAAGAC